TATACGAATACTTGTATGTTGCCTGACATCGCACAAAAGTCTCCTGATAAGCGACGGCGGCATGTAAACGAACCAAACAATCAAGTGTTGGAGCAGAAATCCAGTCACAAACCAAGACTCCGTGGCCGGTTGTGTTTTATACTTAGGAGTTGGGGGATCGGTCCCAGAAGTTGATGATTGTGATGATTGGTGATTGTTTGTCATCGGACCCTGACGGCTCTAGTCGGTACTACTACTACCAACCCCTGGTGTAACTGTCCGAGCCCCACCCATGAAGATCCGGGGTAGAATAGGTCTTCAGCAACCAATGCTTGCTATAAAATGCGACTATGCTTGTCGTAAGAGGCAACTAACGGGATCGGGTGGTCAGGCTCGCTGACTTGGTTGATACATATCATCGTATCCCAATTGCGTGGATTCGATGCTCATGATGTCAATTGCTGGACTGTCTGGTCCAGACTCGATTATTTTTCAGACCGCTGTCATATAGCTGGAATATTGCTGAGCGCGGCGTTAAACAACAAACAAACAAACGATGAGAACTCGTCTTTCTATCAAGAGCATGGGCTTTTTGTTTAAAGCCGAACTTAGCGGCCTGAAATAATCGAGCCTGAGCGAGACAATCAGTACTAATTCTATTTTTATGTTTCGTTGATATTTCATCAAGTACCTGTTGGTGTATCGTAAAACCCTTTTTCAAAGCTAAATCTAACTGCAACCATATGCCAAAACACCAGTAAGTCCGGCAACAAATTATGGATTTATGTAGGTACATTATGACAGTACCGCGAAAACATGGTACTTTACGAGACAATGGTTAAACAACGCACTGTTTCCATGGTGAATTGGCTTCTAGCTGTTCCTACAACGACGTCAAGGTGCCTGACAATGTACAACAAATACTCATGTAACGCACACACAAACATAACTGTCACGGGAGGGTTTTTTGGCTTGACTCCAGCCAATTCCTCATCAACGTCATCTGAAAGCCCATCTTTGTCTCCGCCAACCATCCACAGTACCACATTTCACGGTGGATGGGTATTCCGCCAAGAGAAGCTGTCAGTGCTGGTGCAACGGTGACTCTGTTTCTTTTGGAACGTTTACAGTGATAGAACGTTGCCCCCTCTGTGTCTATTCTCGACAGCGTCCAACATGTGTGCAATAGTCTTTGGTAGAAGACCTAGGAAACTGACACGTCTTGTTCCCTTCCAGTGAATGTAGGACTGTAGTACTGTAGGACGAATGCTTATTAGAGGTTTGTGCGGGAACTGAGATCCGTAATCCAGTAGAAACCACTAATCAACCCTAATCAATCAATCACCAATCAATGCTTTCATATTACTATAGTTAATCTGTTATGCTATAGCTTGAGTAATATATTCAAGAAATAAACGATGCAGCCCCGACTGGTTGTTCTCCTTGCAGTGTTTTATTTATGCAGAGTCCTTTATTCCCTATGTGAGACATCAACATTATGTACGGCCTTTTTAAGGATATTAATAAAATGTACAAGCTTTAACAATATTTACCCTTATCATATAATGGGTAGGTTTCTCGGCAGGATAAAGCAAACGGATAAAAACTATATCCGTTGGGGTCATATGCGGATAGAGATGCAAATATCAAAGGTCAAGTAGGGACTACTTTCAGTGTTTATAAACAGACATGGCGTCGCCCTCGTAATTCGGCGATCGTGTAAGAATTAACCATCGGGAATCTGGATAAACTACAGGGATAATTGCTATCATTATCAAAAGAACAGCCTGATATACTGAAAATCAGTGTCCAACTGTGACGTAGATAAGGCATTTTTTAAGTTTTGGCAACTTTGGAGATATATAAATTTCGAAACAATTTTGCGAGGGCACGAGGCCTAGCCAAGCGGGATCAGTAGCCATATCTGTGCTTGTAGACCTCTGCGGCTTGAAACCTTCTCCACAAATTAAAATAGTTGGATTTGGCCGAAATATGTTTGAATTGTTACCTTGTTTCGTTTTGTCGCTGTGTGTACATCTGACTACACTTCTTAACGTTATGACAGGACAGACCGACTGTCAACAACGTCTGACCGTGGCCGTGACGTCTCATAGATAGACTAGGGTTAGAGTAGCTTCCATTTGACAAAGGGCAGTTACTCTTGCGGACAGACCGATGGATTGCCGCGGAAGGCAATAAAAACAATTGTTGTTTTGCGTATATGTTGCTTCGCCACTGTGTCAAAAACAGTTTCAGTTGGAACTATATTTGTTACTGTCACTGTCCGACTGACAGATCACATACCCTATGACGTTCAAAATATTAATGCGCGCATTCCAGGAAAACTCGCAATGTTTCGGTAATGTTTGTGAGAGAGGGAAATCGATTTTGGAGACAGAATTAAAGAATCACATTATATGATAAAGAGGTTCTAGATACATAGAGGCTCGCTAAATACAAGGTTTATTCCTAATGCAGGATATGTACCGTCCCCAAACACACTCGCGTGATAACCTCTACGTATCTAGTATGTCATGAGACATTTGATTGGCTTAGAAATTGGAAATACTACATACTGGGATGGCCTTGCTTTGTTTATTTACTGAGGCCAATGGCATAAAAGTAGTACCATGGCACTGTTGTTAATCTGGATATATATTATTATAAGTCAGAAAATAACATTGTTAAAACGTTGCTGTCACTGCTGACAATATTTAAGTATTTTCTGCAGAGATACTAAAAACTAGTCGCTTAATGGCTGAAATAATGCCGATGCGACGTTAAATTTTAACTAACTCTCTAATATCTAACGTAATATGATGTCATTGTCAGGAGGAAGATACATGCCAAAGAACAGCTCCCTCAGTCCGACAATTGCAGAGACGTTTACACAGGCAGATATGCATTTGGAGAGAATTGAAGAGTGTCAAACAAGGTTAAAATTTAAAATACGTCAAAAGATGAAACATATATGCTGCACTGCTAGCTACACGTCCACCAAATTTCGTTCCATTTTGGACTTCAAATATAGAGTGATGACCATCCATGGCAGCCATATTGAAAATCTAACCTCTTGAGCAAATTCAGGTGGCATTTATTATTGATGGGGAACAAGCATGGTTGAATGCATCTTCCCGAGGCAAGAGCGTCCACTAGACTTTTTTATCAAAGTGATCGTGATCTACGCGAGGTGGCGACAGGGTCGGGCCTTGATGTGGCAAGGGTAGAAACTAGGATTTGATATAGGCTAGTGGACACGCTTGCTTCAGGAAGATGGGTCGAATGCTTCTCTCGCCACACCGAAGGCCCGGATTCCATTCCCCACATGGGTACAATGTGTAAAACTAATTTCTGGTGTCCCCGCGTGATATTGCTGGATAAGTGCTAAAGGCGGCGTAAAACCATACTCATTCACTGATCGGTAAATAAAAGGAAAATACAATCAATGTTAATTTTGTTTTTTTTGTTGTAATGTGGAATATGTTCTATACATTGTGTATATTTTAAAAAATATTAAGTATATTTTAAAAGAAGCACTAAGGTCCAACATTTCGTGTCTTTCACAAAAAAAACCCTTGAATATATTTTACGCATGCTTCAGTTACTATTGTGGAGAAAGTTAGCGAATATGGTTTCACGAAATGCTATTCCACAAATATAATAAGGCTTGTCATAAGAGGCGACTAACGGGATCGGGTGGTCAGGCTCTGCACAGCGAATTGCTGCGCCTTAGACGACTCGGCCACCCGTGCCCCCTTCTATAGAAGAGAGTGGGGCTCACCCAGGTAACAGCTGTCTGGCCCAGCTGTACCTATGTATGTATTGGTAAGTTATACATGTAGGGTCGTTCAAGATCAGACATATTTAAAGTCATAGTTATCTTAACCGTTAAAACTCAGAGACTCCGGGGATTAGATTTCAACCAATACCAAGAAGGAGTGTTTTATGTGGGACAACATACGAACCGTCTAAATGCAAGAAATGCCAGATTGAATAAACAAACATCGGGCTACCTATAGTGAAACATTACGGTATAAAAGCTTGACATGACAGCGGGCGAGAGAACGAACATGTACACGTGCAGCATGCAGGCAACTGAAGTCAGTCACATGTGAGATTGAACACCCTTTCATCACCTGCCCAGAGGGTGTCTCAGAGTGTTCCAATACTAAACGTGAAGTTGCAGGTTCGATTCACTTCATGGAATTTTTTTTGAACAAAATCGTGATTTTTTACCATTCTAGATTCATACGAAAAAAGATGTTTGTAAACGTCGTTGTTGACGTAACACTCTTCAGTTAGTAGCAAATCGGATACTAGTAACTGAGTTTGCGGGCTTTACACTATCTGAGGATGATCGCCTCCGTGGTCTAGTGGTAGGTTGTCCGCCTGGAGAGCGGAAAGTGCGGGGTTCGATCCACGGCCAAAACCAAAAGACGTTAAAAGATGGTACTTGTTATTACCCTGTCTGAGGCTCGGCATTATGGGGATAAAACAAGGAGTAAGTATACTGTGTCTGAGTGGGGTATTGATGTTAAACTGCGGCATGGTATATCAGTGTGCTCGCACAATAAATCGGTATCAGTCCGGACTAGTACAAGCAGGGCACCCCTGCTGGGGCAGTTTCTAGAAGGCTGGCTGTACCCATATAAGAACAAGTGAGAAGTTCGAGGCCCGACGTGTTTCTTATCAACTCTATGCTTGTCATAAGAGGCAACTAACGGGATCGGGTCGTCATGCTCGCTGACTTGGTTGATACATATCATCGTATCCCAATTGCGTGGATTCGATGCTCATGATGTCAATCACTGGATGTTTAGTTTAGACTCGATTATTTACAGACCGGCGTCATTTAGCTGGAATGTTGCTGAGTGCGGCGTTAAACAACAAACCAACCAACACCCTTCGTGTGTGAACATACACGCTGCACCCTACAGTATCCACCGTCCAATCATATGGACAAATTGGATATTCGTGTATATGTCTTTTGAGTAGTATCCACAACTATCAAGCGTTCTCCGTCATGTTAGGCAAATACAATTTCTCTGTGTAGTACCTGCAAGGAGAACATTACATTGTGGAGTGGCCATGGAGTGCTTGTTGGTGTCAGCACATTGTGGAGTAGCCACGGAGTGCTTGTTGGTGTCAGCACACTGTGGAGTAGCCATGGAGTACTTGTTGGTGTAAGCACATTGTGGAGTAGTCATGGAGTACTTGTTGGTGTCAGCACATTGTGGAGTAGCCATGGAGTGCTTGTTGGTGTCAGCACATTGTGGAGTAGCCATGGAGTGCTTGTTGGTGTCAGCACATTGTGGAGTAGCCACGGAGTGCTTGTTGGTGTCAGCACATTGTGGAGTAGCCATGGAGTACTTGTTGATGTCAGCACTCTGTGGAGTAGCCATGGAGTGCTTGTTGGTGTCAGCACATTGTGGAGTAGCCATGGAGTACTTGTTGGTGTCAGCACACTGTAGAGTAGCCACGGAGTACTTGTTGGTGTCAGCACATTGTGGAGTAGCCATGGAGTGCTTGTTGGTGTCAGCACATTGTGGAGTAGCCATGGAGTACTTGTTGGTGTCAGCACATTGTGGAGTAGCCACGGAGTGCTTGTTGGTGTCAGCACTCTGTGGAGTAGCCATGGAGTACTTGTTGGTGTCAGCACTCTGTGGAGTAGCCATGGAGTACTTGTTGGTGTCAGCACTCTGTGGAGTAGCCATGGAGTACTTGTTGGTGTCAGCACTCTGTGGAGTAGCCACGGAGTGCTTGTTGGTGTCAGCACATTGTGGAGTAGCCATGGAGTGCTTGTTGGTGTCAGCACATTGTGGAGTAGCCATGGAGTACTTGTTGGTGTCAGCACACTGTGGAGTAGCCATGGAGTGCTTGTTGGTGTCAGCACATTGTGGAGTAGCCACGGAGTGCTTGTTGGTGTCAGCACATTGTGGAGTAGCCATGGAGTGCTTGTTGATGTCAGCACATTGTGGAGTAGCCATGGAGTGCTTGTTGGTGTCAGCATACTCCGGAGTAGCCATGGAGTGTTTGTTGGTGTCAGCACACTGTGGAGTAGCCATGGAGTGCTTGTTGGTATCAGCACATTGTGGAGTAGCCATGGAGTACTTGTTGGTGTCAGCACATTGTGGAGTAGCCATGGAGTACTTGTTGGTGTCAGCACACTGTGGAGTAGCCATGGAGTGCTTGTTGGTGTCAGCACATTGTGGAGTAGCCACGGAGTGCTTGTTGGTGTCAGCACATTGTGGAGTAGCCATGGAGTGCTTGTTGATGTCAGCACATTGTGGAGTAGCCATGGAGTGCTTGTTGGTGTCAGCATACTCCGGAGTAGCCATGGAGTGTTTGTTGGTGTCAGCACACTGTGGAGTAGCCATGGAGTGCTTGTTGGTATCAGCACATTGTGGAGTAGCCATGGAGTACTTGTTGGTGTCAGCACATTGTGGAGTAGCCATGGAGTACTTGTTGGTATCAGCACATTGTGGAGTAGCCATGGAGTACTTGTTGGTGTCAGCACATTGTGGAGTAGCCATGGAGTACTTGTTGGTGTCAGCACATTGTGGAGTAGCCATGGAGTGCTTGTTGGTGTCAGCACATTGTGGAGTAGCCACGGAGTGCTTGTTGGTGTCAGCACATTGTGGAGTAGCCATGGAGTGCTTGTTGATGTCAGCACATTGTGGAGTAGCCATGGAGTGCTTGTTGGTGTCAGCATACTCCGGAGTAGCCATGGAGTGTTTGTTGGTGTCAGCACACTGTGGAGTAGCCATGGAGTGCTTGTTGGTATCAGCACATTGTGGAGTAGCCATGGAGTACTTGTTGGTGTCAGCACATTGTGGAGTAGCCATGGAGTACTTGTTGGTGTCAGCACATTGTGGAGTAGCCATGGAGTGCTTGTTGGTGTCAGCACATTGTGGAGTAGCCATGGAGTACTTGTTGGTGTCAGCACTCTGTGGAGTAGCCACGGAGTGCTTGTTGGTGTCAGCACATTTTGGAGTAGCCACGGAGTGCTTGTTGGTGTCAGCACATTGTGGAGTAGCCATGGAGTACTTGTTGGTGTCAGCACTCTGTGGAGTAGCCACGGAGTGCTTGTTGGTGTCAGCACATTTTGGAGTAGCCACGGAGTGCTTGTTGGTGTCAGCACTCTGTGGAGTAGCCATGGAGTACTTGTTGGTGTCAGCACTCTGTGGAGTAGCCATGGAGTACTTGTTGGTGTCAGCACTCTGTGGAGTAGCCATGGAGTGCTTGTTGGTGTCAGCACATTGTGGAGTAGCCACGGAGTGCTTGTTGGTGTCAGCATACTCCGGAGTAGCCATGGAGTGTTTGTTGGTGTCAGCACACTGTGGAGTAGCCATGGAGTACTTGTTGGTATCAGCACATTGTGGAGTAGCCACGGAGTACTTGTTGGTGTCAGCATAACTATGGCAGTTGATTGTTTGAAGATACCTGAAACATGAGCAATCTATCTGAAAGTTTTAACTTGTCAGGACGTACATAGTAATTCCATTGGTGTCGTTTTCATGCTTCCATTCTAATTTCGCCAGACACCCGGCCGAACATAATAAGTGTTAAACTTTGTGGAGTCCACATCATCCAAATCTTCCGTACAATGATCCACAGATGTGTTTGACTGATGAAAGGATAGAGAATTGTGAATATTCCTTAAGAGCTATCATAATGTTTATATTCTACCAACCAATCTGTTCATGACCATACGACCCTGTGTTGTCTTTTATTACGTATTGATAACAACCAAACAATTGAAATATCAATAAATCATCATAGATATCATGTCAGTTTGACAAAGAACATTCTACAGTAAATGATTCATGAACTTCTGTTCAAGGGCAAGTAAGGTCAACATGGCAACTTTGTAGATTTGAATACTTCATGGCATTCACAAATGTTTGACCAAAATTAAATATCATTGGACGGTGCAAATAAAATTAATGCAGGCAATTAACATTAATAATGATTAATCAATATTCTAGTACCTAAACCTGGACGATATCATGCTGATCCTTCAAATTATCGAACAATTGCACCGACCAGGCGCGTTTGCGAAACCATGGAACAGATGATAAATATCTGAAAAACTTTATACTTAGAAACTAACAATCTCATTACCAATATCCGTGAAAACAAGAACCACCTATCTTTAAGTTCGTTTAGAATCATTTGTTAAAACTTCCATTCTAGACAATCAACACCAGTGTCTATCTGGAAACATCCTACATACGTACATACATACATACGCCCCTTAGGAATTTCGTATAAAATTATCTTTGATATATTTCTAAATTACATACCACAAAAACCAAACTAACGCATGACTGCATTATCACCCCGTTTATGAAGAGCTCTAAGAACGTTACTTATTTCCAATGGTCACTATACATTCCAAGTGATGGTGCGTGTTAGTATCGTGACATTTTCACCTAGAAATGTTATTTTGATATTTGTGTTATACTGTCTTCTCTATGTTTTAATAACGAGACTTGAAACACGTCTCTATTCAAGGTTAATCTGAAACTTGATATGGACCTATGGAAACGAATTAGGGCCACATACCTCTACGTAGATCATATTTACATCTGCGTAGACCATACTTACATCTGCGTAGATGATACTTACATCCACGTAGATGGTACTTACACCAGCGGAGACTATACTTACCTCTACGTCAACCATACGTATAACTATGTAGACCATACTCATATCTACGAAGATAATAATTACATGTACGTATTGTATACTTACATCCACGTAGATGATACTTACAACAAAGGAGACTATGCTTACCTCTCGGTCGACCATACGTATAAGTATGTAGACCATACTCACATCTACGAAGATGATGATAACATCTACGTAGAGGATACTTACATCCACGTAGATGATACTTACACCAACGGAGACTATACTTACCTCTACGTCGACCATACGTATAACTATGTAGACCATATTCACATCTACTAAGACGATAATTATATGTACGTATAGTATACTTACATCTACGTAGACCATACTCATATCTACGAAGATAATAATTATATGTACGTATAGTATACTTACATCTACATAGACCATACTTACATCTACGTAGACCATACTTACATCTACGAAGATGATACCTACATGCACGTATAGTATACTTACATCCACGTAGATGATACATCTACATAGACCATACTTACATCTACGTAGACGATACTTACATCTACGAAGATGATACTTACATGTACGTATAGTATACTTACATCCACGTAGATGATACATCTACATAGACCATACTTACATCTACGTAGACAATACTTACATCTACGAAGATGATACTTACATGTACGTATAGTATACTTACATCCATGTAGATGATACATCTACATAAACCATACTTACATCTACGTAGACAATACTTACATCTACGACGATGATACTTACATGCACGTATAGTATACTTACATCTACGTAGATGATATTTACATCCAAGTAGACCATTCTTACATCTACGTAGATGATGCTTCTCACACTTTCATCTCCGTAGATGCTATTTAAATCGTGAGTATCGTTGCTCTGACAGTAATATTATTCGATAGTGGATGGTACTTCCTTCTACGTAAATTATAATATCATATGCTTAGATATAAGTTTCTACGTAGATGAAATAATGGTCTACGTAGATGAAGGTACCATCAACGTAGATGCAAGTATCATGTACGTTGATTTAAGTATGGTCTACGCAGTTGAAAGTATCATCCACGTTGATGGTATTTGTTTAAAATGTGGCACTAACGCGCTTCCGTGCGAACCAGTTACAGTCATAAAATATTTAGTGTTGCAATCATTTATTGCAAGAAGGTGATAAATGATTCGGCCAGTTGACGGTAAAAAGAGCGCAGGATTGAAGGAAACTTGACGTTCGGAGACATTCCCATAATAATAAATATATATCTCTTGATATGTTTCTTCAGGATCGCTGGATGTGTATACGCTTCTGAAATAGAGACGAATCTTCATGACGTGTGGGAGATGCAGTGCAGATGTCTACCTTCTCAGTGTAAGGCTCAGACTCAATGTTTCACGTTCAGCATGACAGACGGCCAGAATGGAAGAACATTTTGTCGAAGAGTCAAAGAAATAGGACAGCCAAAACATGACCACAGAAGTCAAGAATCAAAGAAACAGGGTGGGATCACAAAACGTCACAAATTTGGGGAAGTGACTGGACATAGAAAAGTTCGTATGAATGTGAAGAAGAGTCAATTGGGGGAGAAAAGGAGGGAAAGTGACGCTCACAGAAATAGAAACACAACAACGACAGGCCCTTGGATCAGACGCAGACGGAAACGTATTAAAGGTAGTCACAGGAACGTAAAGAAGCGTCAACCGGGGAAGAAAAGGAGGGAAAGTGACTCTCACACAAATCACGCTTCTGTAAAGGATTCAAATAGAAACACATCAACGACAGGCCCTTGCATCAGTTGCAGACGGAAGCATCAGCACAGGTCTGTGTTTAATTCAACTTTCATCACCACGGATCATAGTAAAAACAATGGAACCAGGTCAACAACAAAAAAACAACGCAAGAATCGCTCGAAAAAGTGTCCATTTACTCAAGCAATACGGTGGAAACACAGGACATTCACAATCTGTGAGGACTTAAATAAAACTCAGCATGTGTCTGTTATAAGAACCAACACTCCATTCAAATTTGGAGCTAAAAGAATAACTGTATTAAGGTATCAACTCCCCGTCTATGTACATGACTTCGAGATCCACCAGTGCAAACTTTACGTTGTGGGGTTCACCAAAGGGTCAAAAGCATCTCGATTGTATATTCTCAAGTTACAAAAGACAGGTGTTTTTAGACCGAGAAGAATAGGAAATACTCACATGTTGTCAATAGCAATGGACATGGAATCAAATCTTGTCTTTCTCGTAGAGAAATCGAAAACAAATTAATTTCTGAAGACACTGCGGACAACAGGAAAGCACCTTCACCGTTCTAAGGCTCATATACGGGTTCAAAGTGACGTGACTTCTATGACTGTTGATAAGAACTCAAAAAAGTTGTTTTTGGTTAAGTCTGGGAATCTGATGGTTTTTAAATATTCTGTAAAAGGGTTGATACAATACAGTAGATCATGGAAAACACAAATCAAAAAGCATCACTGTTACTTAGGTTTTTCTCATGTATCGCAAATGTTTGTCATGTGTAACAAACGAAATGTGTATGTGTGGAAAGTCACCGGAAGTTGTTACAAATTCAGTCTGAGGAAGCGATGTACGTCCCTTGCTGTTTCAAAGGGTACCCAATTTGTTGTGGGAATGTCTGGATCTGTGGCATTTGGCTCTATAAACAAACGACAGATATTAAACACTGTCAAGTTGCATCACGGCGTTGGAGCCAAGGCAATACTTCTTCCCCAGGGTTGAAATACCCATAGAAGAAGGAATGGACAGGAAGTCGTTTGTATTTAAGGAATATACACGTGATGTATGATCGTATTTGCTTTAACGGAAGGAATCTCCAATTGTGTATACTAGCTAATAAATGTAAAATATGCTGTTTTTAGATTTGTCGCTTCTTATCGGATTATGAGTGAGTGAGTATGGTTTTACGCCGCTTTTAGCAATATTCCAGCAATATCACGGCGGGGGACACCAGAAATGGGCTTCACACATTGTACCCATGTCGGGAATCGAACCCGGGTCTTCGGCGTGACAAGCGAACGCTTTAACCACTAGGCTACCCGACCGCCCCTTATCGGATTATGGCTCTGTTCAATTTCATGGGACAAAGTATGTGAGGGGGTCGGGTTTGGTTGTTGCCCAACAACAGGAAACATTCCAGGAAACATGTTTCCATCACTAACGTTAGCTGACTTGGTTGGTGCATGTCATCGTATCCCAGTTGCTTAGGTCGATGCGCATGATGTCAATCACTGGCTTATCTGGTCCATTTTCGATTGTTGTTTGTTTGTTGTTTACCGCCGCACTCAGCAGTATTCCAGCTATATGACGGCGGTCCGTAAATAATCGAGTCTGGACCAGACAATCCAGTGATTGACATCATGCGCATCGATCCACGCAATTGGGATACGATGACATGCATCAACCAAGTCAGCGAGCCTGACCACCCGATCCCGTTATTCGTCTCTTACTACAAGAATAGTCGCCTTTTACGGCAAGTATGGGTTGCTGAAGACCTACTCTACCCCGGACCTTAACGGGCCAGTTCGATCATTGACAGACCGCCGTCATCTTGCGTTAGTGCGGTGTTAAACAATAATACGAATAATACAAAAAATACCACTTAAATTATCTCAAATTGCTTAACCGTTTCAACACGTCGCTGTGCATACGTGTGTCTTTTAGCCATGTCAGGATCCGCTAGTCGTAGGTTCGACTCCAAGATTTCACCACGGTGGTAAATGTCTATTATTTGCTATGATCACATTAGGCTCTCCCGTCACGGCTTGCCCTCATCTGGCCTACACCTTATATCGCCTACACCTCATATGGCCTACACCTTATATAGCCTACACCTCATATGGCCTTCACTAAATACAAATGGTTACTTCTACACCCCTGTTGTGTAGAATGGTACTGTCCATTAACCCATTAATGATTTCATTCATTAATATGAATTAATGACCTGAGTACATGGGCCTTTCAACCAATCCGATGTCTTCATAGTGATATCTGATCCTTGAGTTTGTTTTGACTGTTTATACAGGATTACTGTTATAATCCACTTGGATCATTTGCCATTGTTCAATGCCGATGTGACGTTAAATGTTAACCAAAAAATGTTAATAGCAACCAAAACATTTAAACAGCAGCGTCTTCAAACATTGTGCCAACTATGACCTCTCAAGGAATAGACACCACACGTTACGTAGCGATAAACAAGTATTTTATTAATTCTTATTAACAAACCATAACTAATTGCAAAACGTCTTTGGCTGGGTATCAGGTATACAGATAATTCCATACATACAAATCATGAAATTACAGACAAAAGGTTGAGTCAAGCACTTCACAATGTGGACAAATACTGTAGGCATCAAACAAAATATAAACAAAAGCTTGAAGCTATTAGGACAAGACAAAGTATTTTGTGTATGGACTTTTGGTTTCACTTTAAATGACGCGATCGTCACATAACATAATATTTCTCGGCCTTGCACGACTTGCACCTCCCGGCCGGAACTCCTCGCTAGAATATCTCTAGCAGCACGCGCTCGTCGCAACAGGCAAATAAATTGATCGACAGTTCATGCTCGGCGAATCTTTGATTGGATTAGGACGTTGCTTATAATATCAATCACTGGTTTGTCTGGTCCAGATTCGATCAATTATAGGCCGCCATGATGTAGCTGGACTTTTGCAAAGTATGGCGTTAAACAACATACAATCAAAACATGTCACTAATATTGAACGGACAAACTTTTGGTTAAAATGTTTTTCAACATACGCTATTGCGACGTTTTAAAATGATTATAAATATTAAACTTTTTAAATACTGCAAGTTATTTACCCGAAAATATAATTAAAGTATGAGCAAAACAACATGTTTCTATAAGGATTTCACAAATATATCGTACGCAGTTGTTAAATAACTAATTCTAGCCTTATCTCAATATTCGCGGTATTTTGTTTGTCATACAAATACTCTGCTATAGTACAAACACTGCTGCGTTTGGATATCCCTGGTTCTCCTCTAGTACTCTCCGTTCCTCTGCTCAAGCTGTCAGTGTCATTATTAGAAACGGCATTGGGCAGTAAGAACCCAGTAGTATCACCAATGCTGTGTCTTGGCACGGCAAGCAATTGCCGTCTGGAAACAGAATCCGAAAACGCAGATGATGGTCGGGAATCGATGACAGAACTGGAAGTTTCTGGTGTACGAGGCGGAGAGGCGTGCGCATGGTCATGTCCCTCCAATGCTGGTGTCCGCAAATTCCGGAGGAAGCTTGTGTAAGACGACGCAAAATCATGGTTGTTGTGCCTATTAACCTCAACGACAGTTGATTTTTTACAACGAATTAACCGTTTGGACGCATACCGGAAGTGTTTGCTACAAATAGCATAAACAATTGGATTTATCGCACTGTTTGTTAAAGCAAGACAAAGCGCTATAGACACAACGTATGGATAGTTACTGTCGCCATATATAGAATTGTACATCCGAAGTAAACTATATGGAAACCAACAGGTGACAAAAATCAGTGTTAATCCAAGCAGACGTAATGTTGCCCGGATGTTGCGTCTTATTGGCAACGTATTGCTCGTCACTGAGGTACCGCTGTTGAAGTCGTTGTCATAACAACTATTGAAGTCCGATTTCACGTTACCAGGGAAACTCAACATTGATAGACGCCTGACAGAGAACATTGCTCCTGCTGCCACGGCTCCCGTCGTGCTGACGTGACGTCGGGTCCCATCAGCATGGGCTGTGACGTCACCGATTCGCCTGGCGTGTTTTCGGGCTACTGTTATTATCCTCCAATAGCTAAAACTCATGACAGCTAATGGACTAATATAGCACACCAAGAGAACAGTTATTGCATAGCTGATATGACCCGTCCATGTTGTCACACACGTAAAAATGACGTTTTGAATCTCCACGCCTCCCCATGATAATAAAGGTGAGAGTCCTAAAACAAGGGAGATAATCCAAATGAAGAGCATGATTCCACCTCCATATTTCTTTGGCGACCAGGTTGAGTACCGGAGGCAATACGTTATTGCTAAATACCGGTCCAAAGCAATTCCGATGACGGACCACACAGAGCTGATGCATAGAACATTGGCCAGAGCAGCTGTCACCTGACAAGTAACCTGTAAATAGAGTAACATGACTGTACAACATATCGGAAGGGACGTCTCAGGCTATAAGAAATGAATTTGTGTCTAAATTTGACAAATATTAACATTCTGACAAACAATAAGGCACATGTACATAGGTAGTACAAAGGTTAAACAAATAACGTGTGGTCAGGCTGTGTTGATTGATGGCACACCTTCGAACCCCGACGCCATGGGTGGACGCTGCTCATAATATCAGTCACTGGTTTATCTGGTTTGAGACTCGATTATTTACAGGCCGTCGTGTTAATGCTGGATCGATCCCACAAATCAACTATTTAAATTATGTGTTTGTTTTCACACATTAAACTGTGAAAAATTGATTAATGTTCGGCCTTCTGAACAGGTGAGGAATCGGCGATGTTTAATATACGCGCTTGTGGTGTTGCCTATCAAATGGTGGTCCAGTGGCAAATTTATATCGTCTAAAGGTATGCATTATAAGCTGTTTAAGTCACTTCAAAATGTTTTTGTTGTATTTATATGTCCAATATATTTAACATACAGGGTGGCAAGATTTAGATGTTTTAGATTCTAGCGAAAGAGACTGGAAGATATACGAATACTTTCTACTTTTAGATAATTTGTCCTTATTGTCAGTTGAACAACCAGTCTGATGTTGAAGATGAGTTGGATGTATAATTGTTTACTTGTAGTAGGAAACATGCAGTGAGGATGTCATGCATGTGACAATTCTGTTTCAATGCAGCATCTTGTTAATCTATTAGTTACCTCAAAGAAAAATGTCTTGTGCCAGTATACCGAAAACTCCGAAAAGAAACCAATAATATTAACTTAACATAACGAAAAGCATTGTCGTGAAATGTTATATATATCTACCCGTATAGCATGCCAAGCTCTATTTTAAACCGTCAAATGACAGTGCCCGGGCCTAGTTACTGGACTAAACCGACTCTTTTCAAACGGTAAAGGTTAGGAGGACAACATTTGATACACTCCTTTAATCTGTATGGTCGATATATAGGAGACGAGTCCGTGTTGTGTTTCAGAAAAGAAAAGAACTGCGTTTGGGATAATAATTTATTAAAATATATTAACAATTATAGCATAGTCAATGCTTTTACGTAGATGATGTTACAGTGGCATTGGTGCCCTTCAAAATACTGCCATGATAATATCTGGATGGTATACCAATATATATAGTTAATGTACTACACAGCTCTTTAGCAATATCCCATAACGTCAAGGGTCCCGTTTCACTAAGCGATCTGATGACGATGAAGCGATGCTTTAACTGTGAGGCTACTCCACCCACCGCCCCGGAAACTGGTTAGAGGTTTCTCCTATGAAAAGTTGAGTAGTATGATATTGTTTATAGCTTGTTTTCACCACGAGTCGTTGATCAAAAATAAAACAAGTATTTGTTCTTGTGGACACCGATCCGTCTCAACGGACAAACTCATTGATATTTACACACACAATAGCAGTAAAATGAATTTTCTTTATGGTATGATCAAATTCAAACTGTTTATACCGTTTTGATCATTTGTTTCCAAGCTAACACCGACATTCACTAACTTGAAACGACTTCTACACAAATCCTTATTCCCTCAGAAACAAACAGTTCAAGATAAGTTGATGAGTTGAAGGTACTGATTGGCTGACGAGTGAGCCGAAGGTTACCCTGGCGCTAACATGGGACCTTGACAGACCCCGTACACTGACACATTCAGCCGACTAAGAGGCTTGTATTGTGATTGCCAGTCGGAAAAGATACAGACCGATTTGATAAAGTGCAATTTTTCATATGATTGCGACGTTTTGACAGCTTGATTGGTTTCTGAACGGAAAATTACATTGCCGAAGGTCTGTAGCCAGCCATCGGTTGCTGTGATTGATTTGAAAGTATTTGCGCAGGACCGGAAGCGATTACTTGCGGGTTAGTTATTGACAGTAATGGCGTTTGGGTAGGGTCACTGTGACGTTTTGGAACGCGATAAGAAATCCCTTGGAACGTCTGAAGACGTCATGTACCGGTAATGCTGTTCCTTCGTGAATGTGGCAACGCTATGTATCATTACTGTGTACTTGGTGGTGTTTTTCTTCCAGCTTATTATTGTATTTAGAATTGTCTATACACCAGCAACCTATGGTTGTACGAGGCGACTTAATGGTCAGGTTTGGTATTTGTTTGTTGTTTAACGCCGCAATAAGCAATATTCCAGCTATATTAATAATCGAATCTGCACCAGACAATCCTGTGATTGACATCATGAGCATCGATCCACGCAACTGGGATACGATGACATGCATCAACCAGGTCAGCAAGCCTGACCACCCGATCCCGTTAGTTACCTCTTACGACAAGCATAGTCACCTTTTACGGCAAGCATGGGTTGCTTAAGATCTTTACTGAACCAAATTAAAAACTTCACAATCCTAAAATTTTAACATTTTGACGAGTTATCATTGTGAGCCCTAATTGTGTATTTAAACAGTAACGGCCACGTATTGTCTTCAGATAACACACGTTTTTGTGCAGGTGAATCGATCAAAATCATGTGCACAGCACTATAGTGGCAAAAGTGTTTTTTCACGTGCAACTGGTCACTTGGCCATAATACCGCACGTGTTTTCAGCCATAGTTGTTAGCAGTCATTAACAAAAATAGAAAAACACAACAAAACAAAAGTCTTTACGGCCATTTGTCATGCCACGCCTTTCAAATGTGCAACGTGAACGTGCCATCGGCATGTTGCAGACGGGAACGTCCGTAGCTGAAGTCGCAAGGACGATGGGTTGTAGTCGACGGACTGTTTATAATTTACAGACGCGTCTACAGCAAACGGGTACCACCGCTGATCACCCTCGGCCAGGCCGACCACGTGTGACGTCACATGCAGAGGATCGTCAGATCGTCTTACGTCACCTCCGTAACCGATTTTTGACGGCTACATCAACCAGAAATGAACTGTTTAGGGGTAGACTGAGTGCGCAAACTGTTCGAAACCGTCTGAGAACTGCTCACCTTCAAGCACGACGGCCGATTCTCAATTACATAGACGTCAACGTCAATTGTGGGCACAGCGACACTTACGGTGGACTCAGAGGAATTGGAATCAAGTCGTCTTCAGTGATGAATCCCGATTTAATCTTCGATTTGCTGATGGTAGGGCGAGGGTGTGGAGGCGCCGCCATGAACGTTACGCCCAGTGTTGTGTACAGGAAGTTGACAGATTTCGAGGAGGAAGTGTCATGGTGTGGGGTGCTTTCTGTGGCAATGCCCGTTCCAGGCTTCTTGTCATCCGTGGCAACCTCAACGCTGCTGCTTACCGCGACCAGGTACTGGCACCAGAACTTCTGCCTTTTATGGCAGCACATGGACCCGGTTTGATCTTCCAACACGACAATGCCAGACCCTACACAGCAATTTTGACAAGGAATTTCCTTCAGAATGCGGGAGTCAACGTCATGGACTGGCCGTCAAGGTCTCCCGACCTCAATCCCATCGAACACGTCTGGGATGCTCTTGGCAGAAGTCTGCGCACTCTCCAGAACCGTCGTCTTTCCAATTATGTGTTCATAAGCATCACAAGGTCCATGCGGAGGCGTTGTGTGGCAGCTGTCAACGCACATGGTGGCCATACATGCTTCTGAACTTGTGTGCAATCAGATTTTCGTGCTTGGGACTTATGATTTAAACTGTTGATGTTATTACCGAATACCGTAGGTGCTTGGAACAAATTATGGTTACCACCGTTAATTAAAATCCTTCTTTGGACATTTATGATTTAAAAATTACCTTCTCTGATACATTTGTCCGTTGTATATCATATATGGGATTACTTTTGAAAATGCGAAGTTTTTAATTTGACTCCACCTGTATATTCTACCCCAAATCTTCACGGATCTCAGGCTTGGTGGCTTGATGGCTTGGCTTAAAACTTGTCAGTGTACCCTGACGGCCTTGATTGTTCATGATATCAATCACTTGTTTGTCTGGTCCAAACTCGACTAATCAAAGGGCATCGTCATGTAGCTGGAACAGTACTGAATGTGGCGTTAACCACCCATACATACATACTATTAACCAAATATAACTAAACGTTTGTGTATTCCAACGAATGCTATCGAGATTTTAACTTTAAACTGTTGTTCTACCGTTTTTGCGTCGTCATGGCCCAGGCATTACCTTTCAACATGACAACGCCCGGCCGCATATTGCTCGACTTGTTCAGGATTCTCTTAAACAAAACAATGTGAATATCACCCCCTGGCCGGCTCGCTCTCCTGATCTCTCACCAATTGAGCACATGTGGGATGAGATGGATCGGCGCCTTCGACGTCAACAACGTGTTCCACAGACACTCCAGGAACTTCGAAACATGCTCCAACAGATATGGACAGATATCCAGCAGGACTTTGTGCGACGCCTGGTCCATTCCATGAGACGAAGATGTGTTGCTTGCATCGCAACCAGAGGTGGACACACACGCTATTGATTTGTGAATTGACATTTTGGCATGTTCATTGTTTTTTTTAAATGAAATCACGAATTTTCAGAATGGCAAATTGAACCATTTGAACACTTACAGGAGTCTTTTATCTGTTGCAAACCGAAACTTGTTCAGATTTGGTAAATCTTATTCAATGTCACAGTAACTTTTGTTGTTCAGTGCATTTGAATAACCAGTAAACCTCATTCTCATAAATATCACCACATGGTCGTCTATGGAATCTTTGGACCTTCTTCCCGAGGGAACTCAACGATTCCAGCCTAGTTCGGTAAGGGTCGAAACTGGACTGTTATGGTCAGTTAACTCCCTTGCCTCGGGAAGATGTCTTAATTTGAACGGCCATTGTGGAGTTATCGCCCTCACAACACGAAGCATTAAGCGTGAAATTAATCACAACGACAACGCGACATTTTGACCACGTGTCACCTATTGTCTGGTTTTGTGAGTGCAACAATGTCCCTTCTGGGATTTCATAGTTGTCTGTGATAACCTCCTCAACCATGACGTTAAAAA